ACTAATATACGACACTAAAAGTGCCACAAAAATACCATGAGAACTCAGAAACCTTGAGAACTCAGGAGAGAAACCTTACAATGAGTTTATCACTGATTCAAGATAAGCGCAATGCAATGCACTATGCAAACTCAGCAAATTTTGATCACACCACTAAAATAAATAGAAATTGCAAAAATGCCTAAGTAAACTATGCAAAAAAAAAAAATATTTAATTAAGTTAATAAATTAAATGCATATAGGTATATTTAATTTTATATTTGTAAAATTTGGATATATAGCCAAATAATAATACTTCCCGTTTTAGCTGTGTAAAATTTGTTTAATGTGGACAAGGTTTTAAAATGGCATTTGATTGCATTTCCTAACTCCTAGTGACACAGATATCACACATTATCGATATAAACGTTTTCTAAAAATACTATATAAACACATAATTAGCACTTTAAAATCGCAGCTCGAGTTGAAAGTTCGAAATTGAAAATATATCGACATTTTCAGAATAAAAAAAAATCTCCATTTTCTATAATGCGCATCTTGTGGTGGGAAACTTTAATATACAGATAAAATAACTATTTTATTTTATTTATTTAATTAAAAGAAGGCACATCTTTCATATAATAAACATTGGTTTGCTTACAGCATGAACATGTATATTAATGTGCTTATTATTGTGTACAAGATCACAAATCTTGGTGTTGGGTTTAATATATTAAGGGACTGTTGTCATGTTTCCATACCTGCCCCTCGGGCATCTTGTTGTTCTGCCTTCAGCTTTAGTTCTTTTTCAGTAATATACTATGCACCCCTTCATTTGTGTGCTGTGTCTTATATAAGAAAAACAAATACAAAAGATTTTTTCCATTGAACTAATACATTAGTTCGAATTAGTTAGTTTCATGCCCGAAACGCTTTGCGTAATAGTGGCTTTAGGCATTGTATGTACTAGCTCTACCTATAAGTCAACCAATCTTTGTAAAAATTTCTTGTATGTATGTACCTTACCTAAATAAACATTTATTTATTTATTTATTTATTTATTTATTTATTTATTATTATCATCATCATCCTATCTCTTGCAAGTGTGATATGCCAACCATTATTTGACATATTTTTGTGTTGTTAGGGAAGTGTGTGCGCTTGGGGATACCTACCTCTCCCCAGGCCGTGGTTTGGGAAAACGGGTGTTCTAAAGCTATATCAAAACCCTACACCACCCCCTCCTCACACATACATACAAGGGGGCCTGACAGCTGAGTGGACAGTGCTCGGGATTCGTAGTCCTAAGGGCCTGGGTTCGATTCCCGGTAGAGGCGGAAACAAGTGGACAGAATTTCTTTCACCCCGATGCACCTGTTCGCCTAGCAGTAAATAGCTACCTGGGGATGTGTGTAACAAAAAGGAGGCCTGGTCGAGGATCGGGCCGCGGGGAAGCTAAGCCCCGAAATCATTTGAAGATAATCTCAAGATAACCCCCAAAATGGCAAGGGGAAGACGGTGACAAAAAAAATCAATTAACCTGTGGATGGTTATTCAGCCCATCACAACAGCTTATTGACCAACCAATTAGTCCTGGACATTATCCAGGACTAAAGTAAACCCAGTGTATATACACCAAGAGGCTGGTTATATCTCTTGGTGTACCACTTCATTCCATCTTATTAACTGTGAATTATTATTATAATCATTTTTCCAGACATCAGAAATGTTTTACGATATAAAAAGGAAAAATAATGGGTTTATCTTCTGAGCACCACGAAAGCAACCTAATTTCTGGTTCGATCCCCAAGGTGGTCCACTGCCCATCCACAGGATGCAGCCCCACAATAAACTAACTCCTGAGTACCTATTTACTACTAGGTGAACAAAGGGAATTAGGGGATAGAAAAAGGTGCCCAATCATTGTGATTGTCCCCCGGGATTCAAAACCAGAATTCTCGACTACAAGTCAAGAACAGGCCCCACTGAACCACCGGGACCCCCGGTTGCCTTCACTTATTTAAAGGATTTGCAGTTATTAGTTCTTAAACTCTTATCACAGAATAATTTTCAATTATTATTTTTATTTGCCTTTTCATAAAATACATATTTTATTATGACTTACAGATGCACATAGCACACACATGGTGGCCATGACAGGAGTCTGCCGGCCAAGATATCTAAGTGTGTCAGGCTGACCAGTCAAGAAAACTTGATTTGTGGAGATTTTACATACAGCCGGGACTGGAGATCACTTGGCCTCGGGGGTGGGGCATCCTTAAGAAGACTAGGATTCGTAAACAGTTTACCAAATCATGACATAATTGCCAAGAACAAGAACAAGAAGGTAAAAGTTTCCCAAGTACCTGTGTCACTGTTTAATGGCTCCTGCCCCATGTGAGCTGTGCTAAAGCTTGGAGTTACTGAAGCTAAGCTTGGGGGTACCTCCTGAAAAAACTATTAGTACCTGTAAAATTCCACAGAATGTAACTGGAAAAATGCCCAAAATTTGTTGAATGCAGTCCAAATATCATACTGAAACAGGAAAGGAATCTTATAGAAACCCATTTGACTATTTTTTCTTTTTTTTATAATCATCAAATTGGAGGGTTATATTTAATTTGTTCTCTTTTGTTTTCTGGCAGAAATACATTCCTTAAACTACAAGATAAGACCTGGATAGATACCCATGAGGATATAGATGTTCAGAAACAGTTCATGATGTCGGCCCCCGTTTTTGGAAACCAACACTAAGTGTTAGATCTCCGAATTAACTGAACATGCTACCGAAGCATTCCAAATACTTCACACTATCTTGCATACTAATATCACACCTTGATCATACCCGGAGAGGGTTTCGGTCGTTTTTCTACTCCCCGAGCCCGACCTGAGGCCTGGCTTGGAAGAATCTCTAGCAAATACACACAGAAATCAGAAAAGCGTGATATGTATATCAAATGAACAAATCCCTCTCATCACGGCCCTTGTGGATTTGTTCTCTAGCAAAGATTCTTACTAGTGATCATTTTTACCTCTTATTCTGCAAAATTTTATTTGCCCAGTTGCCTAGCTATACAGTATAGCCATTGATCTTTAGGTGAGCACTGAGTGCTTATCAACGAGCAATTTTGTACTGTAATCAGGTGATTTTTAGAAGTATTAAAATATTGTACTTAGTTACTTTCTCATCTGTTTTATTTCCTTTTGTTGCTTCCACAATATCCCTTATAACGGATGACATATAGTACCGAGGAATTCTTGTAAGATAAATAATTTAACATGGAGCACATTTGCAAACAACTTAAATTACACTTGTGTTTACAGTGAGACAACAGTAACCTTGTATGTAGAGAGCATTATCATATTACACATAATAATCCATGGACCGTAAGTAAGAGCCAGGTATTTATCTACTGTATATTCTACAGTAATAATTAATAAACAATATTATTCCACATATTATTCACACCCATAAAAACAAAACAAAAAATCTAATTATCAATCAAAGCAATATAGACTTTTGCATCTGGGAACACATTGGTCGATACTGATCATGCATACTGACAAAATAATATAATACTATTTACACTAGGCCTATAAACATTACAAAATAATTAAAATGTAAACACCCTATAAACAGACTGAAACTGACTGAATAACTATGTATATATGATAACCTATGGTTTAAAATCATATTATATTGCAGATTTTACTGAAATACTAAAATTACTTAAATGCATCAGCAGATATCCTTATCAAAAATACACTTAGGAACAGTTTACACAAAACACTAGCAGTAATTAAGCCTAGGTTAACCAGCATGACTGAAATGTTTCCCCAGGATAATACAATTTCTAAACTCAGTCCAATATAAATGCAAAATTTTGACTCAGGAATGATAGGCTCACATAAATAAAAATGCTGCAGTGAAGCACCATTGAAGTGAAGCGTAGCATTAAAATGTAGGCTAGCCTGGGTTAATATAAACGTTTCAGTCAAGCAAATATAAATGCTTAACATTTACACTGCTACATGTGCCATAATGCGATTTTTTTTCACCATTTGATTTTTTAACTAATTTTTGTTATGTGCACCTTGACGTAGATCTTTTATATAGCTGCACAATTTAAGGATTAAGTCTACCTAATTCCAGACTAATAAATTCTGGACTGATTAATATTAGTCCGCAACTTGCATTTCCAAAAAATAGTACCGATATCTACAATGGATTAAATGTAAAAAACACAAACAGTTGTGCTCAAAAGTAGTAAAATTTTGCTTTGCTATTCATTATACAGAGAGCCCAAGAAAAAATGCAATATATTTTTGCATTTTATTTATATAAAACCTATATTTTCTATATACAGTGGTACCTCAGCTTACAAATTTAATCCATTCCCGGAGACAGTTCGTAACCCGAAAATTCATAAACCGAAGCAAATTTTCCCATAAGAAATTATGTAAATTGAATTAATCCATTCCACACTTCCAAAAATATTAACTTCAGAGTAAATTTTATATGTACTTCACCCAAATCTTTAGTACTAAAGCATGTACAAGTTATTGTTTACTTTTATTGATGACTCTTGTTGGCGTATGGAAGAAGATGAGGCGTGGGGGAGAGAGAGGTGTTACAGTAGTATTTGGAAGGGGAGTCCCCTTCCACTACAACATCAGGTAGAGATGACTTCTCTGGGGTACTCTCTCTTCTATGTTTTGTAGGAGTACCACTAGGACCTGGTTGTGACTCACTGCTTTCTTGTCTTACTAAGAATCTGTCTAAAGACACTTGTTTTTTCCTACAATTTTCCCTACAATAATGTCATAGTGAGACATTACATTGTCATTTAAAACGTCAATGCAATGACCTGTTACAGTTTTATCTAGGCGAGTTTTTTTTCAACAAACCTTTGCAGTTCTTCCCATACTTCACACATTCTCTTAATGTGGAAGGGACATCCTCTACTGCTTCTACTCACAACTATTTTCTTAGGTTGAACCTTACCACTGACTTTCTTGGAACCCATGGCGAGATATATATAATAATTACTTTTATGTTCAAATATAAAAAAAATCCGAAAAACACTGAAATTCTTTACAAAGAATTCAGGCGCGATTGTCACTAGGCGGGAGACACTGGTAAACTGGGGCGTGGTTGCTGTGCCACCACCCGCTAGATCAGCCATACGCCTATCAGCAAACTACGATACCCGAGGCAATGTTCATTACCCGATTCAGACTTTACGAAGAAATTGGGCTTATAGCCCAAAAAGTTCATAAAGAGGGGCATTTGTAAGCCAAGGTGTCACTGTATAGGTTTATATCAATATTTTCCTATATTTTCCAAGGTCTTAGACCTATATTTTCCTGATCAGACCTATATTTTCCAAGGTCTTGTATAGTACATGTACTGTATATACTAAATTTGATCTAAGATTGCAAATGTTAGGCCTGTGATAGGTAATGTTTGGTTTATAGTTAGTCTATTTCACTTGACGTTATGCTATTTAGAATTCTAATAGTACAAAATATGAGATTTGGAGAGTACAATAGCTCATATTTTGTAAATCCATCCATAGTACATGTACTATCATTTTTGAAGGATAGGTTATAAGTAATTGTCAAAAGAAGAAACCAAGCCAGGAATATTCAAAAGGCACTAAATAACACTGAAAGAGGCCAACAAGAAAACAAAAGGCCATAAGGAATGCGACATCAAGGTATCGGATTCACCAATAATTCTACTGAGAGACAATGATAGATTATAGTTAACCAAGAAGCATAATAACACAAAATATCACTCATATATTTCCAAATCATAAGTAGTAAAAATTGGAAAAGTAAACAATTAGCTGGAACAAGAATACTGATGTACTGTATATAATTCCTCAATATATATAAATTTGTATTATTCAATTCAATAAAATAGATTTATCATAAATAAATTTCTTACAAGACTCTAAATTGAAAGAATTATTAAAATAAATACTGTATACTAAAAATGTTCAAAACCTTGAATTATCTTGGCAAAAAAAATTTATTTATTTAGATACATTTGCAAGACTTTTTACTATTGCAACTTCCATGGTGTGTAATTGGTCTATGAAGTACATCCAGCTTCTACAAAAAGAGAAGAATATTAATTATAATTTTAATACCATGTGCTGAAGAACTCTCCCTTCTGAAACAACTATGAAAACAGAAATACCTTACAAGATGTCCAATTAACAAGGTGACAGCCTTGTAATTTCAAGCTGAAGCTCACATTTTCTAAATTGTACAATGGATAAATGAGAAAATAGTATCTTGATATGCAAAACATCGGATACCTCCAAAATGGATGACACACTCAGGATAAAAAAAACACAATCTGGTGCCATTAAGATCAATTATAAATATTCTGGTAACTTATACAATTAAACTGGTTACTAAAGCCTTTTTCCTCAAGGCAGGACACTAGGCAATGTGAGGTTTATCACTTGAATCAATAGAATACGCTAATACGTACCTTCTCATATGTTTATGAAGCATAAATATGTTCTCACATTCAGTACACACATGAAGCTTATAATCCCTATGCACCTTCCAGTGTGTCTTCAAATCTTCAAGATGAATCACTTTTTCTCTACCTCACTCAGCACACTGCTGAGGATTATTACCAATATGCTCCATTCTGTGGGACTTCATGGTATCAAGATGACTAAATCTTTTCCCACACTCTGGACACTGGTGTGTATTATCTCTTGTGTGCAGGAGTTTGTGCCTCTTCATAGATACACGGTGACTGAATCCTTTCCCACACTCTGAACACATATGAGGTTTATCACCTGTATGCACCGTCCTGTGTATCTTCACATCTCGAAGGCTGAACATTTTCCCAAACCCTAAAAACTCGTGAGTTTTATTCCCAATATGCACAAGCCTGTGCGCCTTCACAGATATCAGCTTTTTGAATCTTTTCCCACAATCTGGACACTCATGAGGCTTCTCATCAGAATGCACTAACATGTGTCTTATTATATCGCCACGTACTCTGAATCTTTTCCCACACTCGGCACACTCAAAAGGTTTCTGACCTGTATGCACCATCTCATGAACCTTCATAGCAGAAAATTGTCTAAATCTTGTCCCACACTCTAGACACTTGTGAGGCTTGACTCCAGTATGCACCATCATGTGATTCTTCATATTCATCAACCGACTGAATTTCTTCCTGCACTGTGGACACTCATGAGGTTTATCACCCTTATGCATGATCCTGTGCTTCCTCACATAACGAAGTAAACGGAATCTTTTCCCGCACTCCGGACACTCGTGAGGCTTGTCACTGGAATGCCCTAGCAAGGAAGTATTATGTACACTAATGTGAGCCTTCAGACTTCCAACATGACTGAATCTTTTCATACACTGTGGACACTCATGAGGTTTTTCACCCGTATGCACTAACATGTGAGTCTTCATATTTCCAAGAAGACTAAATCTTTTCCCACACTCAGGACACTCATAAGGCTTTTCACCCGTATGCACTAACATGTGGGTTGTCACATGGTCACTACGACCGAATCTTTTTCCACACTCTGGACACTCATGAGGCTTATCACCAGTATGCAGTGCCATGTGAATCTTCACATTTCCTGGACTGCTGAATGTTTTCCCACACTCCGGACACTCATTAGGTTTTGTTGTCTTCATAACTACAGTTTGTGTGAAGGTTATCTCCTCCTGACTGCAGGAGTTGTCTTGTGACTTGGGGCGTCTCCTGGAGACACAACACTGCCGCTGGGAAGGATAATTATACCAGGGTGTCTAATGCTTGATGTGTGAAGGTTATCTCCTGGTGACTGCTGGAGTTGTGGCTTGGCGCGTCTCCTGAAGAGAAAACTTCTTCTTTATAGTAGGTGCAGTTTGCCTGAAGTTTTTTTTATTTTTTTAGATATATACAAGAGTTGTTACATTCTTGTACAACCACTAGTACGCGTAGCGTTTCGGGCAGGTCCCTGGAATACGATCCCCGCCGCGAAGAATCGTTTTTACAACCAAGTACACATTTTACTGTTGCGTTAAACAGAGGCTACAGTTAAGGATTTGCGCCCAGTAAACCCTCCCCGGCCAGGATACGAACCCATGACAAAGCGCTCGCGGAACGCCAGGCGAGTGTCTTACCACTACACCACGGAGACAAGGGTTTGTTCCCCCTATGACTACACCAGTAAAGATGTTGAGAGACGTGTTTATGTTGAGAATGATAAGTTTCAAAGGTGCTTGTTGCGTTGTGCTGTAGAGAGGAGCGGCGACTAAAACAGAGGTTAGAGGGAGACTTGCCGGAGAGACAACAGAACTTGCCGGTGACGATTGTTGTGATACGTCGGACGCTTGTATTCCTGTAGCTAAGTGACGTTTTCTTTATTCATTTATGATAAACTAATATATTTTACTGAAACTATTTTTTGTGTGTGTATCTTAGTACAGACCAACAATGATGCCCTCTCAACGGGCCTTACATTGCTTGACTGGAATAATAATAAGGCTCAATAAAAGCTAAAATTCAAATTAGACATAAAAATACAGTTTTCTTCAGGGCCACCTCACCTATATCAGATCATATCATATCAAAACAGGGGTGAAAAAAATTAGGCCAATATACATCCTGCCCACCTTGTCCAAACTGAGAGACATCTCCCGTCACGCAGGGTGCCGTCGCACCTCCACAGATCTCCAGTATCAGCTCTTGATACTGGTAATGGCTCAAAAGGGCCACCACTTACGGGCCCATGCCACCTTTTGGGTGGCTTAATCTTCATCAATCTATCAATGTCCAAACTATTTGAGGAATTCATACACAGCTCTTTTCATCCAGGGCTGTAGCAGGTAGGGTGTTATCAGGGCTGTAGCAGGTAGGGTATTATCAGGGCTGTAGCAGGTAGGGTGTTATCAGGGCTGTAGCAGGTAGGGTGTTATCAGGGCTGTAGCAGTTAGGGTGTTATCAGGGCTGTAGCAGGTAGGGTGTTATCAGGGCTGTAGCAGTTAGGGTGTTATCAGGGCTGTAGCAGGTCGGGTGTTATTAGGGCTGTAGCAGGTAGGGTGTTATCAGGGCTGTAGCAGGTAGGGTGTTATCAGGGCTGTAGCAGGTAGGGTGTTATCAGGGTTGTAGCAGGTAGGGTGTTATGGGGCTGTAGCAGGTAGGGTGTTATCAGGGCTGTAGCAGGTCGGGTGTTATTAGGGCTGTAGCAGGTAGGGTGTTATCAGGGCTGTAGCAGTTAGGGTGTTATCAGGGCTGTAGCAGGTAGGGTGTTATCAGGGCTGTAGCAGGTAGGGTATTATCAGGGCTGTAGCAGTTAGAGTGTTATCAGGGCTGTAGCAGGTAGGGTGTTATCAGGGCTGTAGCAGGTAGGGTGTTATCAGGGCTGTAGCAGGTAGGGTGTTATCAGGGCTGTAGCAGTTAGGGTGTTATCAGGGTTGCAGCAGGTAGGGTGTTATCAGGGCTGTAGCAGTTAGGGTGTTATCAGGGCTGTAGCAGTTAGGGTGTTATCAGGGCTGTAGCAGGTAGGGTATTATCAGGGCTGTAGCAGGTAGTGTGTTATCAGAGCCGTAGGAAGTAGGGTGTTTTCAGGGCTGCGCTATTATAGAATGTTATGTGAAAAAAATCGCGGAATTCGGAGATAACACTATCAGTAGAGTCCAAGAAATATGTAAGTACTTCATTCCTGATGATATACTGCCAGGAATCTTAGCGAAGTATCCAAAATTTGTTTACTGTAAGTAATGCATGAATGACTGTAAAGCTACCACCCAGTTGGGTGGGTGTGGAGCAAGACTAGTAACTGTGTGACTCACCACAGATGTAAAGTGCCTTATATGGCGACTGTTGTGAGCCTCTTGTTGAATTACATGTGATAAAGATTATCAATGTGTATATGTATTTGTGTAAATGACTGTATATATATTATTACGGTGCCCTCTCCTATATCTTCCCTTATCCAGTGAGAAGAGTCATAACTACCCACCTTACAGATTCCCTGAATTGAAGAGATCAGTTTGAAATAGATGACAGCTAGCAAAAGTACGTTTGCGGATATAAAACTGTGTGTAATGAAGTAAGGGCGAAGAGGGAGAACGGCCAATTGACATAGCTCAAGTGCATAGGGGGAGTTGTGTAAAACCCTGGTTTGTGCCTCGGAGAGGCTGCAGGATCCAGTAAGTTCAGTAGAACTTCGGTTTCAATTCCTTTTGACCATGTCGTAGCTCAGTTGATTAAGACAGCGTCTGGGATGATCTCGGACGCAGGTTTGAATCCTCATCACGGCCCTTGTGGATTTGTTCATTTGATGCATCACGCAATTGTGATTTATATTGCAGAACGAAGCCTTGAGGATAATCCTTGGGTGCCCTCGTACCACAAAGATACTTAATGTGAGAAAGGAACTTAATATTCCGAGCGTTGTTGATCGTGTTACTGAAATTAACTGTCAAATTGGTATAAAAATGCTTAAGCTAACTCATCCTAACCCTTGCATAGGAGCCCTCCAGAATTTCTTTATTGAAGATCAGCATTGTTCCAAATGGATAACTAAAACTGGAACTCAACTCAGAATGTATCTGGTTCATAATTTGTACCAAGAGAAACAACAAAGGTACTTTCCTGCACCATGGGAGATTACACCCTTTCCAGTTTTAATCCCTCCCTTTCCATCCACGAAGCAAATTAGAGATCAGCCCAAGCTTCGTCTTGAGGCAAAGCTCAACGCCTTAAGCCATATTGATACTCTGTCTACAGAGCATTCTCTCTCTCAAATCATATACAATGATGGTTCCTTACACCGTAGCACCACGGGTGCAGCTGGAAGTGGCCTTGCTCCTTGCACTGAAATGTGTACAAATGAACAAATCCACAAGGGCCATGACGAGGATTCGAACCTGCGTCCGGGAGCATCCCAGACACTGCCTTAATCGACTGAGCTACGACAGGGTTAAAAAAAAAAAAAGAGTTGAAACCAAAGTTCTACTGAACTTACTGGATCCCGTAGCCTCTCCGAGGCACAAACCAGGATTTTACACTGATCATTGATCCGTGCGACATCCACAGTTGTTCTGACAATGGGCGATGGCTTGTACTTTGAGTGGGGAGTCCGTATAAACAACTGGACCTCTACCATTCAGACCAACTATTTGCCTTGCTCCTTGCACTGAAATGTGTACAAATGAACAAATCCACAAGGGCCGTGACGAGGATTCGAACCTGCGTCCGGGAGCATCCCAGACACTGCCTTAATCGACTGAGCTACGACAGGGTTAAAAAAAAAAAAAGAGTTGAAACCAAAGTTCTACTGAACTTACTGGATCCCGTAGCCTCTCCGAGGCACAAACCAGGATTTTACACTGATCATTGATCCGTGCGACATCCACACACCCTAGAACTCCCGCACTGTGCTGTGAGCCCGACAAAGACAGACCCCTAATGTCTCTGACCGGCCTGGTGAGCACTGGTCACAAAGCCCCAGCCAAGAGACAATGCATCCACAACAGACAGGGAAGGACAAAGGGGTGCGGACGCCAAAGTCAAGTCGACTAACACCCCTAAGTCCGGATCCCTTTAGCCAAAGCCAAATATAGCCAGTCTCAGGGCATCCGGGAAAGCAACCAATCTATCGCATTGCAGTAACTACAACCTAGCATGTGATGCTGCAGCTGACTGCACCCGCAGCCCTGACCTGAAGCCAGGGCAGGGTACCGCTAGCCGGCGCTCAAAACTACCAAGCACACTGCTAAAGCTGAACCTCCGGGACGTATACACTCGCAGAGGCCTAGCAGAGGACCACCAAGTAACAATAAGTTATGACCAACCAAGTGGCAGACCCCCACCAGGCAGCTAGGCAAAAAGAAAAGCACTGAAAGAGGACAACGTACCCAGGTGGAACAGAGCTGGCCACTATGTGAGGTGATAACTAACAGCACTAGCAGCACAGTACCCTGTGCCCTTACCAGTGATGAAAACTACCCCTACCTAAAAATAAACAGGGGAACATAGAAACCTCAGCCTGACCCAGTCGATGGCATAGAATACATCCAACCACACAGGGGATTCTATAGGCCATTGCTTCTCGTGCCTCTCTGAGGAGGCCCAGGTTGTCTCATAGTCCCCAGTAGGCCTTGAACTCCATGCACGTTAATGCCAGAAATCTAATATATCCATATCAGCCTGGATAGCTCCGGGGAGCCGACGGGGCTTCCCCCAGAAAAGAAAGGGAACTAGATGGATGACGCAGGCAGTAAAAAATATTCCTCAGAGTATGAGATAAAAAAAATTTTACCTCATACTCTGAAGAATTACATTTAGCTTAAGTTATAAAGCTATATTATATATTTAATCATTAGTTATAAAGCCATTGATCTTTCCATGACCACTGAGTGGTTCTCAACTTATAAATTTGTATTGTAAGCAGTTAATTTTGGAATTATTAGTAAAACATTTGTCATTTTATGTTTTAATTTTGTTTATTGTTTCCACAATACACAGTATCCCTAATAACAGCTGTGACATACTGACGATACACAGTATCCCTAATAACAGGTGACATACTGACGAATTCTCACAAGATCAATAATTTAACATGAAACACATTTATATACTTTGTAAAGTGTACCATCAAGTTATATACTGTATATAATAATGGATTCACCATAATAGTCCAGTATTTACATTATTCTATATTCTAAACTAATAATTAATAACCAATAACTACACATTATTCTCATCCATAAAAGAATATTTCTAATTATAAATTACTGTGTAACAAATTTTGTTTTTCTGGGAAGTGATATTTCGTAATTGCTTATGACTCCAAAGTACTTATAATAAATTAATATTATTCCCCACAACTTTGCATTTACGACCAGGATCAGGCCTTGAAGTATGAAGTGTACAGCTGGAAGATCAAGGGAAATGTCAAAATGGCAGCATTTCTGATGGGTCTCCAAAGTGATTTTTACCCAATTTCATTGCCATTTTTGCCTTTGGGACAGCAGACACACTAACGTGCACTCCCACAGGCGGGACTGGCCGCAGCGGACAATTCTCTGTGAGGAGGAACAATGTCAATTACGAACTACTGGTACTCTCAAAAGTTGCCGATGCTACCACTGCACATCAAATCGAGCCTTATTTAACAATTTGTAACAGTTGTAGATAAGAAGACAGACTTTCCCTGTCCGAACAAAGTGGAGTGCTACACTAGGGGAAAAGATACTAGGACAGTGTCTTCATCACACCTCAGATACAGGCGATCCTGGAGTGCAAGGAATTCCCCAAGAAGCTCATTAGAAAGAGCAAAGGAACTCGGAACAGCTTTGTTACAGTGGTTCAGGAATTCCTGGGCATTCACAAGGCCAAAAAGTATGTGCAGCTGGTTGAGAGGCAAGTAAATAATAATGGCACAATGGGCTGCATAGTTTTCCCTTGAAGTCCATATCCGAGATGCTCATCTTGATAAATTCATCAAGTTGGGAGTGCACTCAGAGAAGCAAGGATATACTCAATTTTAAATGTCGCTACCATAGACAGTATAATGAGAACCTAATGTTGATAATCCTCAAATTTTGCTACAATGTACCTATTCATTTTCTTCAAATTTTCTTACAATGTACCTGTTAATATTCTTCAAATTTTGCTACAAATTATCTAAATATAATTACTTGCTAGATTAAGGACCTACCCGAAATGCTATGCATGTCAGTGGCTTTGCAAGAATCATCAATGCTATGTATTCCCATAAACCCAATGTACCTTCTTGTACAGATTTAAGAATTTCATTTGAGCTATGCCAGGATCAGATTTACATACAATACAGGTGTACATATTACACTTGCATGCTATTCCATACAGTGTGTAAACTAAAGAAAAAAAGCAAACATGTAATCCACACAACTCGCCCTTACACGAAGAGTCGGCAAAATTTCTCTCCGCACAAGTTCATGGACGTAATCACTTATCCCACAAGGAACCTCCCAATTCATTCAAGACATAAAACTTAAATATTTACATATTTAATTACCTTAAGTTCTGCATGCAAATGAGATCTTGATTTTGAATGAGAAATTTTGGGTCTATAAACAGTATCTTTTTTTTTTTTTTTGCACAGGCATTTGGCACCTTTTATAATAGCTGTACTCCAAGGATTAACATAATTTGTTGAATTATCAACTTTCAAATTAAATTAATAAAGTAATAAGGCCTTTTTCCTCATAACAGGATATTAGGCAATGTGAGGTTTAACATCTGAATGCAATAACACATGCTTTTTCATATGTTTAAGATACTTATATCTTTTCCCACATACGGGACATTCATAACGCTTAATATCCGAATGCACTTTCCTGTGTACATTCATATCTCCAAGACGAATGAATCTTTTCCCACAATCAGGACATTCATAAGGCTTATCACCAGAATGTACTAACCTGTGAGACTTCATTGTGTCAAGACGACTAAATGTTTTCCCACACACTGTACACTCGTAAGGCTTATCTCCTGTATGCACAACCCTGTGCCTCTTAAGAGTTGTAGGATGACTGAATCCTCTCCCACATTCGGGGCATTCATAAGGCCTGTCACTCGTATGTATCACCATGTGAGTCATCATGTTTCGAAAACGACTGAATCTTTTCCCACAATCTGGACACTCATAAGGCTGATCACCCTTAAGCACCATTCTGTCTGTCTTCATATCTCGAAGACTGAACTTATTCGCAAACTCGGGACACTCCTGAGGCTCGTCACCCATATGCACCATTCTGTGCGACTTCATAGTGCCTAGACGACTAAATCTTTTCCCACACTCTGGACACTCATGAGGTCTATCACCCAAATGCACCGAAATGTGTTTTATCACATCTCCACGTATTCTAAATTTTTTCCCACATTCAGCACACTCAAAAGGCTTATGATCAGAATGCACCTGCATGTGAGTCTTCATACCGCCAATTCGACTAAATCTTTTCCCACACTCTGGACACTCATGAGGTCTGTCATCCGAATGTACCGTTATGTGATTCTTCAAGCTTAAAACATGACGGAATCTTTTCCCACACACTGGACATCCATGAGGTTTGTCATCCGTATGCACCAACATGTGAGACTTTACATTTCCAATATGACGGAATTTTTTCCCACACACTGGGCACTCTAGAGGCTTTTCACCCGTGTGTACCAACATGTGAGTCTTCACATTTCCAGAACTGGTGAAGGCTTTCCCACATTCTGGACATTCATGGTTTTTCATCTTCTTCGTGACTGTGCAGTTTGTGTAAAGGTCATCTTCTTCCGATGACTGCATTAGTTGTCTTAGGACTTGGGGCATTTCCTGGAGACACATGACTGCCACTGGATACGATAAGTAAAACAGAGCGTTACTTTATGTTTGGTGCAATAAAGTTGTCTCCTGATGACTGCTGGAGTTGTCTTGTCACTTGCGGCGTCTCCTGGAGAGAACACTGCTGCCGAAGAAGGATTTTAGGCCTGGATATAATGTTGTTGATTTAGGGCCACAATGACATAAGTGACAGATGTGCCCTTGTGCTCCCTTGTTGGATAAACCCCAAAGCCTCGAAGCAGTTTACACATGCCCCGTCTGTGAAAAACTACCGTGTCTTGGGGTAAATAAACGCACTGTTTGGCAAACATTTATTGAGCCTCTGGTGTCCACCGGAGAGGCGAGCGACAGACATCACCCGACACAGAGAAGCTGCAGGAAGACTATAGGCACCCAGGGACCCCAGACAACGTGTCAGGCGTCCAGTAAACTCTGGGTCAACAAACTTATGGGAGAATCATGCTGGCCGCTCCTGAGCTCGAGCCCAATCTTGCTAAAACGTCTTCCAGTGACCTCCGGCAGACCAATATCCAGGGGCCCATAAAGACGCACCAACTCCCGGCACCTCTCCGCCAAGCTGGCGCCGGAAACAGTCTCTACGCCCGAGGAACCAAGCACAAAATTAAAAAAAAAATCTATCCACTTCCCCGTAACAAGCAGATGACAGACATACGCCAGGCGCCCTAACGACCCGGACCGCTAAATAGGAACGCCTAACAACTGTACCGAGCCCCGGTGGTCAGGAACTACGGAACGTGTTCCTGCAGGCCCCAGGAACACCAGGGGGGTTCGGATGTTTGCTCGTCGTCGAGGTTAAACCAGAATAATATGGAGAACTTCCCGGTGACGCTTGTTGTGATGGCGTCGGGCGCTTCCTCTCCCGTGGCTATGGTCACGTTTTCTTTGATCTGCGACGGTGGGTAAACTGGGATATATTTGGTTGAATTTGCATTTATCTCAATTTACCTGAGGGGTCATTATCTCGCTAGTGGTTCGACGGGGAACAGAAATTGTTGGGCACATTTCCTATCATATAATGGGTCTGTTTACCTAGCAGTACCGCCCACAGGATTGGTATAGGTCCACGTCTGGCATTTACGTCTTCAGCGGGTAGGCTGTTCCAAGGGTTTACAGCCCTGTTGGTGAAAATGCATCTCCTGTTTCCTATCCTACACTGTGACTAATGTCGAGGTCACCCCTTCCCTCCAGGGTGGAATTACTAGCCCTCCCCAGGATGCAACCCCCACAACAGTTGACTAACTCACAGCTTCCTGTTTACTGCTAATTAATAATAAATAAATAAATAAATAAATAAATAAATAAATAAATAAATAAATGTTTATTTAGGTAAGGTACATACATACAAGAAATTTTTTTACAAAGATTGGTGGACTTATAGATAGAGCTAGTACATACAATGCCTAAAGCCACTATTACGCAAAGCGTTTCGGGCATGAAAAACTTAAATGACTAAAGCTTAATACTAATTGAGCATAAAGAGTAAAATGAAAACAAGAAATGAAAACATAGCTGAAAAAGCAGCACAAATACAATTCTGTCGACAAACAGCGCTCTTTAAAAAAAAACAGACATTGGTTGACAATAGAAGGGTAAGGTAGGTTACAGGGAAGTTATTAGGTATAGCTTCGTTTTTATCTTAAACTGGTTGAGAGAGGTACAGTCTTTAACATGGTTGGGAAGGTCATCCCAGTCATTCCACCGGACTGATCAATTAAATAAATAAATATGTTTATTCAGGTAAGGTACATACATACAAGTGATGTTACATTAATGGATTGATATATAGATAGAGCTAGTACATACAATGCCTAAAGCCACTATTACGCAATGCGTTTCGGGCAAGAGAACGTTGATGGAACGAGAGATGCGTTAAGGGAACAGGAACAATCTTCTGCATTGCCTGCTTCGTAGATCCATTTTACTCAACTAAAATGAATCCCCTGTTATTTATTTATTTTATTTTATTTATTTTTTTTGAGATATATACAAGAGTTGTTACATTCTTGTACAGCCACTAGTACGCGTAGCGTTTCGGGCAAGTCCTTAATCCTATGGTCCCTGGAATACGATCCCCGCCGCGAAGAATCGTTGTTACAACCAAGTACACATTTTACTGTTGCGTTAAACAGAGGCTACAGTTAAGGAATTGCGCCAAGTAAATCCTCCCCGGCCAGGATACGAACCCATGACATAACGCTCGCGGAACGCCAGGTGAGTGTCTTACCACTACACCACGGAGACTGTAATATACAGTTATACAAAACTATAGCGACCTCAGACTGCTCTGTCCATATAGATAATTGTAATCATCTTATATCATGGTTGTTATGTTGAAGGCAAATTTCACTTCAATATACCTAGAAATAATCCTCAAATTATACTACAATGTACCGTTGATAACCCTCAAATTTCATTAAAATGTACCTACTAATTTTCTTCAAATTTTCTTACAATGTACCTGTTAATCTTTTTAAATTTTGCTACAAATTACCTACTTACAATTATCTGTTAGATTACCTGCCCGAGACGCTATATGCGTTTTAGTGCCTTTGCAAGAATGTAAAAACATCAATGTTATGTACTCTCATAAACCCAATGTACCTTGTATATTTATTTATTTTTTTATTTTTTTTTATTTATTTATATACACAAGAGTTATTACATTCTTGTACAGCTACCAGCACGCATAGCGTTTCGGGCAGGTCCCTAATCCTAATTTTCCCTGGAATACGACCCGCCAAATCGTATAACAACCAGGTATGCCCGTTTACTGCTGGGTGAACATAGGCTACAGTTAAGGATTGGCGAGTATACTACAACTGTGCGACGGGGACTCGTGGATTAATGAATTTAGGCAAAACTACACTATACCCATGAATCCTACACTGCTTGTATCCTGTGTATACTTTTCCCTAAATAAAATGTTTTTATCTCTTTCATGTTGAAGTGACCACGTACAATCTTTGAAGGGTTATTAAAGTCTATCAACTTCTGGAGGGTTATTAATGCTTATTAACCTCTGGAAGGCTATTAAGGTCTGTTAACCTCTCATCTGTCATTCTTTGGAGAGTTATTAAGGCCTATCAACCTCTGGAGAGTTATTACAGTCTATCAACCTCTGGAGAGTTATTACAGCATCTGGAGGGTTATTAAGGCCTTATATATCAACCTCTGAAGAGTTATTAAGGTCTATCAACCTCTTTTTAAAAAGTTTTTATCTAACATCTATGTGGCTCACTTCGATACAGTACTAAGTTCCCACCTGTGTCCACCTGTGTTGGGTTTGCGTACCATCCATGTTAAATTGTTTTTATTTACCCTCTTGATTCCTCTGAGAATTTTGTAGGTGGTAATCATGTCTTCCTTAACTCTTGTCTTCCAGTTTCGTGAGGTTTAATTCCAAAAGTTTTCCCTCATAACTCATACCTCTCAGCTCTGGGTCTGATGGCATGCATCTGAACATGCTCTAACTTCGTCTTGTGTATGACTATATATGAACTCCATGCTAGCGCTGCATACTCCAGAATTAGTCTGACATATGAGATCTGCAAGGTTTTGAATTATTCTTTTCAAAGTTTCCTTCCACTGGGAAGGATAATTAAGCCAGGGTGTTGTCATATTCTTTGTGTGTGAAGGTAATTATGTCCTCCTGGTGACGGCTGGAGTTATCTAAGTAAGTATTTAATAAAAGAAGGCACCAAACCAAGAAGGTTATGTAGCACCACCAAATGTGCAGAATAATCAGAGGGCGCTAAATATCACCAAGGTTGCCAATACGAGAAGAGAAATGCATAAGGCGAACGATATCAAAAGTATCCGATTCACCAAGAATTCTAAGGCACAAGGCACAAGCGACCGCGAGGGACGGTCGGAAAGCAAGATACATGCTCGTTCTGGAAGTCAGGACATTCAACAAGAATATGCACGACCGTAAGAGGAACAATGCAATTCGGACAATAAGGAGCAGGGTGGCGCTCCATTAGGTGATCGTGAGTTAAGCGAGTATGGCCAATACACAACCTCGCCAGAGCCGTTTCACCTCGCCGGTTACGGTGGTAAAAGAAAGGCCACGAGGACACACAACTCTTAAGAGCACGCAGTTTGTTCCCAGTAACAGAAGACCATGCAACAATCCTGCCAACGAGTAAGGATGGAGGAATGAATAAATAGGTAAAAGTCGGAATAAGGAATACCTTTACCGGAGATGGGATAAGAGCGGACAGCTTCCTTAGCGGCAGCATCCGCACGCTCATTTAGAGACACCAATATGGCTGGGAACCCAACAAAACTCAAGTGATTTAAATTTACTGGAAATAAGAAACAGCCAATGCTGGATCTCGACGACCACTGGATGGACCGGATTAAAGGACCCGAGAGCCATGAGGGCACTACGAGAGTCAACGACAACTACAAAGGAAGATTAACAATGAGAAAGCAGGAGACGAAGAGCATAGAGAAAAGCATAAGAATTTTTAGATATTGATTTAGATTTTTTATTCAGGTAAAGGTACATACATTGAGTTACATAAATAATGTTGGATTTAAAGATAGTGATTGGTGTTCCTCAAGGCAGCATACTTGGCCCTCTCCTCTTTCTCATCTACAGTAATGACCTTCCAAATGCCTCCCAACACCTTAAACCAATTATATTTGCTGACGACACAACCTTCATTTATTCCAGTCCTGACCCCCTTGCTCTTAATGTCACAGTGAATACTGAGATAAATAAAGTCCATCTTTCGCTAATTGCCAACAAACTCACCCTTAACATTGACAAAACTTTCTATATTTTGTTTGGCAATAAATCCTCTAATCAAATAAATCTCAGGATAAATAATATCCAAATTTGTAACAAAGTAGATGGCAAATTCCTTGGTGCTCTCATTGACCACAAACTGAATTTCCAGGGACACATTCTAAATATATAAAAAAAAAAGTTTAAAAAACTGTTGGCATTCTTTCTAAGATCAGATATTATGTACCACGCCCTGCCCTGGTGACGCTCTATTACTCCCTCATCTATCCTTATCTCAACTATGGTATTTGTGCTTGGGATTCTACTACCCAAAATCATTTACGTCCTCTAATTACTCAACACAAAGCTGCTATTAGGACAATATCCAACTCTGGCCCCAGACATCACTCGGTACCCCTACTCAAATCTCTGAATATGTTAGATATTAAGTCACTGCACATTCTCTCATGTGCATTATATATATATATAAAACGCTGAACTGTAATGTCAGTCCTGACCTTAAAAGCTTCCTAGAAGGTTGTAACAGAACCCATGCGCACCACACCAGAAACAAATACCTTTTTGATATTCCAAAAGTACGACTAAATCAAACTAGAAATGCTCTACAAATCAAGGGACCCAGAATGTGGAATGACCTTCCCAATTATGTTAAAGACTGTACCTCTCTCAACCAGTTTTGTATGTGTATGCCTCCTCAAACACCCGGGCGTCAAAATAAAAGAAGACAGAAAGAATGATCAAAACAGGCAAAAGGTCGGTGGGAAATGATAATTAGAAAGGAGAAGAGGGGAGGGGAAGAAAAATAAAAACATAAGGAAAAGGAAATGATGTCCAGCACAATTTGTGAGGACAGCAGCAGGAGCATAAGGCCACAAAAGGGCAGAGGACTGTCGCAAGGAGCATCACTTTCCGGCAGCCTCCCACCAAGCCCCCTCATGGCATCAACGACCGGACAGCGAGGGGGGGCCTCTTGTGAGAAACCATTTGGAGAAGTGGTACATTCTCCAGATGACGACTCTGCTTAGATAGTTGGCTGCAGCTATTCTGGCTGCGGTTCACTTAAACATGACTATATTTACAGGCGATGAGTGACAATAACGTGGTTGAAGTATGTTGACCAGGCGTCGTCCCTTCACTTTCTAGTGTGTGGTCTGGTCAACAAGAATATATTTACCCTTATGCACCCTGTGCCCAGTGATCCTGGGATTAAGATGGTCTGCCCCTTGATGTGGTCTTGAACCACATTCTGTAGATTGAATACAGTATGTCCAGGTCAGGGCTTTCACATAGCAAATCTCAAGGTCGCTCTTGGCAAGTGCCATATCCTGAAGACCGCGCGCAATCTCCTTGCACCATCCTTCTCTCCAATAAAAGAGTTATCGAAGAGGCGGATGCTGTGTTCTTCCCGGTGTATTCCTTGACCTTTTGAAGGATCTCTGGAGTGCCATACTTGTTGCACTTGCTCTGATATGGACAGGAGAGTGGGAAGTTATCAGCAGAGACCTGGGTGTCTAACATAAAGGCCTCATCACCTTTGCAAGCTATGATGTCAGGCTTGCAGAAGGTCCCTCCATCCGGTATATGGAATTTACTTTCCACCTCAAAACCTCTTTGCCGCAGGCGGCCGGCTACGAACCGAGTGATATCATCATGACGTTTCACCCGAGCCCCGTGTGTCTTGTAGCATGGCTGGAATATGTGGCCCAGGGTCCCTGGTTTCTGGCAAGCATCGCAGAGACCAGAAGCCTCGGGTCTACCCCTAGCTGCTCTAGACGGAATGACTACAGCGCTTGACCTGATCTAGATGGCATTAGAAATAAAAAAATGCAGTTTTCTTTGAGGCCATATCCCCAGTATCAGAACACAACCGAAGTAAACCATCTTAGATCAATATCAGTCTTGTCCATCTTGTCCAAAATATTTCAGACATTCCTGCAAACAGCTCTCTACTCTTTCCTACACACACAGTATATTTAGTACAAACCAATGTTTCATATCCCATAAAAGCACAAACGATACTTTTCTCACATAGGCAAGTACATAACCGGTTACCAGCCCTAAGCCGCTAACCCTTGTCAGCAGCATGATCAAATTCGGATAGGAGGAAAGCTCACCCCTTCATGTGATCACAATATTCTAAAATGGATTACAATTACAGAAATCCGTATATCTATAATTATAATTCCTTGATAATACCCTCAAGTGGATAATCAAGGAATGAGAAAGAATTGCAAAACACCTCTTGGAGGGAGCTAATAAGTGATCAGGAATAGGAAAATTTAAAAAAAGATCACCACAGAACTCGTTCAAAAATGTCCAAAGTAGAAAAAAATATAGGGAACTAGATGGATGACACAGGCAGTAAAAAAATCCTCAGAGTATATCAAAAAATCTTTACCTTATACTCTGCAGAATTATATTTAGCTTAGTTGTATAGCTATTTTGAATTATATATTTAGTCCTTAGTTATAAAGCTATTGATCTTTCCAATGACCACTGAGGGCTCATCAACTTGTAAATTTGTAATCAGTTAATTTTGGAATTATTAAAATACTTGTATTATTTTATCTGTTTTATTTTTGTTTGTTGCTTTCACAACACACAGTATCAATAATAACGGGTGACATACTGAGGAATTCTCACAAGATCAATAATTTAACATGAAACACATTTATGTACTAACTTTGTATGTAAAGTGTACCATAAAGTTATATATAATAGTGGATTGGCCTTAAGAGTCCAGTATTTACCTTATTCTATCTATATTCTAAACTAATAATTAATAACCAATAACACACATTATTCTCATCCATAAAACTTTACAGTATTTCTAATTATAAATTACTGTGTAACAAATTTTGTTTTCCAGGGGAGTGATATTTTGCAATTGCTTATGACTCCAATGTATAATAAATGAATATTATTCCCCACAAAATTTGCTTTTATGACCAGGATCAGGCCTTAAACCATGAAGAGTACGGCTGGGAGGTCGAGGGATACGTCAAAATGACGGCCTTTCTGATGGGTCTCCAAATTGATTTTTACCGCTGCCATCTTGCTCTTTGCCTTCGTGTGTGTACCACACACACACACATTCCCATAAGCAGGACTGACTACAGCAGACAGAGTTCTCTGTGAGGAGGACCAATGTCAATTAAAAGCCACTGGTAAACTCTCAAAAGTTGATGATGCCCCCACTGCACATCAAATCGAGCCTAATTTAACAATTTGTTACAGTTCTAGATAAGAAGTCGGCAGCCTTCAAGTACCTTCAAACTGCTTCCCTAAGCTGTCTGAACAAAGGACAAAGCCAGTGTCATCACACCACAGATACAGATCCTGGAGTGCAAGGAATTCCCCAAGAACCTCATTAGGCAGGGCAAAGGATCACGGAACAGCTTTGTTGCAGTGATTCAGGGATTCCTGGGCATTCACAAGGCCAAAAAGTATGTGCAGCTGGTTGAGAGGCAAGTAAATAACAATGGCACAATGGGCTACATGGTTGTCCCTTGAAGTCCATATCCGAGATGCTCATCTTGATAAATTCATCAAGTTGGGAGTGCACTCAGAGAAGCAAGGACATACTGGACTTTGATTGCCGCTACCATAGACAGTATAATGAGAACCTTATGTTGATAATCCTCAAATTTTGCTACAATGTACCTATTCATTTGCTTCAAATTTTCTTACAATGTACCTGTTAATATTCTTCAAATTTTGCTACAAATTACCTACCTCTAATTACTTGTTAGATTAAGGACCTGCTCGAAATGCTATGCGTGTTAGTGACTTTGCAAGAATGTAAAACTTCAATGCTATGTACTCTCATAAACCCAATGAACCTTGTATATAAATAAATATATAAACAAACATGATGGTGGACTACATTTGGGAGCTAATTCATGAAAATGTTTTAATGTACAATCACAAATCTCAAAAACTACTTGTTTCTTAAATATTTTATGGCCATTTTTGTCAAACATTAGTATAAATACGTGTTTTTATGATTTTAAATGAACAAAAAGATGAAAATTCGCCTGTATCCTCAATAAAAATAATTAAATTTAAAAATATCACTGTCCTGACACAAGATCACTAGCAACTCCAGCAGTCACCATAACCTTCACACACCAAGCATATGACAACTCCCTGGCTTAATTAATCAAAGTTTGCATGGAACAATTGACATTTTTTTTACTTTTTAGGCCTAAGCTATTAGCAAATAACATTTACCACCCAGGAACAAAAATTGTGTTACATTTTCAATCAGTCAAAACAATATAGAGTACCTGTACTTTACTTCTATATCTGAGAACACAATGATGTTTACTAATCATGCATACTGAAAAATATACTGTGCATATATTTATACTAGGCCTATTCATTAAAATTAATTAAAAAGTAGGCACCTTACAAACAGTTAAATACTGAATTAGAATACAATATGTATGCCTGAACACCATAAATACTTAACTTCATAAGGAGATTTTGTTATCAATCAAATATTTGGTAAACAGTTTACACAAAACACTATCAGTAACTAGCCCCTGATAACCACCAAATGACCTCCAGGATAATGCAATTTCTGAAGTCAGTCTAATATAAGTAAAAAAGTCTAGACATCAAAACTACCAAAACTAAAACTGATGCAGTCAAGCTATTGTAATTACTGAAAATTACCTAGCATGCCAAAGTCTAACTAAAAAAAATATCTAAGGTAGTTTGACCTTAAACTGTAAACTGACCTTAGAATGTAAATTCTGGAGAAATTTACATTAGGCAGCCACAAGGAATAGTAACAAATAAAATAATTAATACTCCCATATCTAAGGTAGTAGACACCAGCAAAATAAGCAACTAGCTACAGTAAGACAACAGACATTTATAGTTCCTCACTGAAAATCAATTTGTATTTTTCAAGTCAAGAAAATGGACTAATCTAATCTAATCTAAATCTAATCTTGTGTTGAGTACATCATAAACCGGTTTTTCTACTCCCTTCCCAAATTTTTAATACAAAGTTTGACAAAAGGAAAATGTCCTTAGGCTAATCCAGCTGCTAGAGACTTTGTGGTGTTTTAAATACATTTCTTAACAGACTAGGTAAAAAAAGAATTTTTAAAATACGGAAAAAGACTCTCCATACATTTACTTGGTCTGATGAGCATCTTACTTCTACAAAAGAACAGAAGATTAATTATGAACTGTGAAACACTAAACTATGCAAATGGAGATAGGTCTTTGTAGACATCCAACTGATAAGGTGACAGCATGACATTCTAAAGCTCTCAATTTCTAAATTCCACACTGATATAATGTGAAGTTAATATTGATGGGGGGAGAGGGGGGGCCTGCTGCATGGGTGACAGCTTCTCCCCCGTATTAACCTACTGTACTTTGGCTTTGCACCCTGGAGAGGCCTCTCCAGAGTGCAACTCCATAGTCTCCCGAGACTGATGGATGCCTACTACTATTTTGATATGCATCACATCCAATACCACCAAATTGGATTATACTTGCAAGACTTATCTAACAAACACAATCCAGTGCCATTAAAATGTAACCCTTGAAGTGCAGTTATTACTGTATGCCGCTCCCCAGTGGTGATGGTTATCATCAGACATTGATTTTAAACATTATCGCTCAGTTTTTAATATAAATGATGTAAATATGGTTATAATATGGCTGTAATAGTTAAAATAGTCCCATGAAAAAAATTCAGCTATCATTTTTAATTGCTTACTATGCAGTGAGGCTCTCATATACTAATGGTTTGACGTTATCGTCAAATCACAATTTGTCTGCCCATCGGTGTTAGAATGATTATTCTTGAAGATATTATCTGACTATGTAGCTGCAAATGGGTGGGGAGCAAGGTAAGGTAATTATTAGGATAAAGTACCAAGCCACTATGACCGTATAGCACTTGCAAGGAACAGGAAGCCAAGGAGCTAGAATAATTAGAATCTTGCCCGAAAAATTCTTTTCGGGCAAGAATAATGCCCGAAACGCTTTGCGTAATAGTGGCTTTAGGCATTGTATGTACTAGCTCTACCTATAAGTCAAACAATCCTTGTAAATATTTATTGTATGTATGTTCCTTACCTAAATAAAATTGTATTGTATTGTATTGTATTGAGCTGAGATACAACACAGGGAAGGAATGTGCCCAACCACTTGCATGGTCAGGGTTTGAACGCCAACCTGCATTAAGCAAGACTGATGATGTACTGACTAGTCCAACTGGTTGGATGGGGTACATTGCAAGAATTTCCATTGAGCTATGCCAAAAACAGATTTACATACACTACAGGTGAACATATTACACTGTAGGCCTATGTACAGTACATAATCACTTTTCTGTCAATTATGTGCAAATACATCATGCTATTCCACACACCATAAACTAAAGCAAAATAGCAAACATGTAATCCAACTAACTTGCTCACACTACTCTCCCTTACACAAAGAGTCAGCAAAATTTTCTCCCCACAAGTTCATGGATGTAATCACTTATCCCACAAGGAACCTCCCAATGCATTCAAGACATAAAATTTAATTATTTCCACTTTTAATTACCTTAAGTTTTGCATGCAAATATATAGTTTAAAAGAAGTTTGTTCCATTCTTTTTTTTTGCATATTCAGTTGGCACCTTTATAATAGCTGTATTCCAAGAATTAACATAAGTTATTGAATAATCAAAGCTTTCAAATTAAATTAATTAATAAAGCAATAAGGCCTTTTTCCTCAAGACAGGACACTAGACAATGTGAGGTTTAACATCTGAATGCAATAACACATGCCTTTTCATGTGTCTAAGATACTTATATTTTTTCCCACATTCGGGACATTCATAACGCTTAATATCTGAATGCGATTTCCTGTGTTCGTTCATATCTCGAGGACGAATGAACTTTTTCCCACAATCAGGACATTCATAAGGCTTATCACCTGAATGTACTAACCTGTGATTCTTCATCGTGTCAAGACGACTAAATGTTTTGCCACACACTGTACACTCGTAAGGCTTATCATCTGAATGCACGACTCTGTGCCTCTTAAGAGTTGTAGGATTATTAAATCCTCTCCCACATTCGGGGCATTCATAAGGCCTGTCACTCGTATGTATCACCATGTGAGTCATCATATTTGGAAAACGACTAAATCTTTTCCCACAATCTGGACACTCATAAGGCTGATCACCCTTAAGCACCATTCTGTCTGTCTTCATATCTCGAAGACTGAACCTATTCGTAAACTCGGGACAATCCCGAGGTTCATCACCCATATGCACCATTCTGTGCGACTTCATAGTGCCTAGACGACTGAATCTTTTCCCACACTCTGGACACTCATGAGGTCTATCACCCGAATGCACATGCATGTGTTTTATCATATCTTCACGTATTCTGAATTTTCTCCCACATTCAGCACACTCGAAAGGCTTATGATCAGAATGCACCTGCATGTGTCTCTTCATACCACCAATACGCCTAAAACTTTTCCCACACTCTGGACACTCATGAGGTCTGTCATCCGAATGTACCATTATGTGATTCTTCAAGCTTATAACATGACGGAATCTTTTCCCACACACAGGACATGCATGAGGCTTGTCATCCGTATGCACCAACATGTGAGACTTCACAGTTCCAATATGACGGAATCTTTTCCCACACACTGGACATCCATGAGGCTTTTCACCTGTGTGCACTAACATGTGAGTCTTCACATTTCCTGAACTGTTGAATGTTCTCCCACATTCTGGACATTCGTGAGTTTTCATCTTCTTCGTGACTGTGCAGTTTGTGTAAAGGTCATCTTCTTCCGATAACTGCATTATTTGTCTTAGGACTTCGGGCATTTCCTGGAGACACATGACTGCCGCTGGATATGATAAGTAAAACAGAGCGTTACTTTATGTTTGGTGCCACAAATGTTGACTCCTGTTGACTGCTGGAGTTGTCTCGTCACTTGAGGCGTCTCCTGGAGAGAACACTGCTGCTGAAGAAGGATATTAGGCCTGGATATAATGATGTTGTCGATTTAGGGCCACAATGACACAAGTAACAGTTGTTGCCATTGTGTTCCCTTGTAGGATAAGCCCTAAAGCCTCGAGACAGTTTACACGTTCCTCGTCTGTGAAAAACTACCGTGTCTTGGGGTAAATAAACGCACTGTTTGGCAAACATTTGGCGAGCCTCTGGTGTCCACCGGAGAGGCGAGAGACAGACATCACCCCCACTCACAGAAGCAGCAGGAAGACTATCGGCACCCAGGGACCCCAGACAAGGTGTCAGACGTCCTGTAAACTCTGGGTCAACAATTGCAGCAGAATCATGCTGGCCGCTCCTGAACTCGAGCCCAATCTTGCTAAAAAGTCTTCCAGTGACCTCCGGCAGACCAATATCCAGGAGCCCATAAAGACGCACCAACTCCCGGCACCTCTCCACTATGCTGGCGCCGGAAACAGTCTCTACGCCCGAAGAACCAAACAAAATTAAAAAAAAAATCTATCCACTTCCCCTTGACAAGCTGGCACAGATGCGCCAGGCGTCCTAACGACCCGGACAGCTAAATAGGAACGCCTAACAACTGTACCGAGCCCCGATGGTCAGGAACTACGGAACGTGTTCCTGCAGGCCCCAGGAACAGCAGGGAGGTCCGGGTGTTTGCTCGTTGTCGAGGTTAAACCAGAATAATATGGAGAACTTCCCGGTGACGCTTGTTGTGATGGCGTCGGGCGCTTCCTCTCCCGTGGCTATGGTCACGTTTTCTTTGATCTGCGACGTTGGATAAACTGTGATATATTTGGCTGAACTTGAATTTACTGGAACTTACCTCAGGGGTCATTATCACGCCAGTGAACTCGACGGGGACAGGAAGCTGGCGGGGCAAAAATTGTTAGGCATATTTCTAGTCACGTAATGGGTCTGGATTGGTATGGGGTCCACTTTTGGCATTTACGTCTTCAGCGGGAAGGCAGTTCCACGGGTTTACAACCCTTTGAGGGAAAAAGCATCTCCTGTTTCCTATCCTTGATTGTGGCTAATACCAAGGTCCCCATTCCCTCCAGGGTGGAATTACTGGGCCTCCTCAGGATGCAACCCCCACAACAGTTGACTAACTCCCTGGTACCTATTTACTGCTAGGTGCATGAACAGGGACAATCTTCTGATTCTGCATTGCCTGCTTCATAGATCTTTTTTACTCAACTCAAATGAAAGTCACCTGTTATACAAAACCATAGCGACCTCAGACTGCTCTATCCATATAAGAAATTCTCGTTTAATTTAACCTATATTTAAAAACCTATTGTTTGCTGACGATACTATCATCGTCTACTCAGATCCCAACACACACACATTAAATAATGTTGTAAATAATGAATTTAAAAAAGTCCACTTGTGGATGTCAATCAACAAACACTAAACATAAAAAAGACCTACTACATGTTGACCAGACCACACACTAGAAATTGAAGGGACGACGACGTTTCGGTCCGTCCTGGACCATTCTCAAGTCGATTGTCTAAGTCGACTTGAGAATGGTCCAGGACGGACCGAAACGTCGTCGTCCCTTCAATTTCTAGTGTGTGGTCTGGTCAACATACTTCAGCCACGTTATTGTGACTCATCGCCTGCACCTACTACATCTTATTTGGAAGCAAATCAACAAATGCAATTCAGCTTCGGATAGACAATGTTAATGTTTTATCAGTAATAAAAATGATGGAAAATTTCTTGGGCCTATATTTAGATAAGAGACTCAACTTTAACATCCACATACAACACCTAACCAAGAAAGTCTCAAAAACGGTTGGTATAATCTCTGAAATCTGATATTATGTTCCAAACTCTGCTATCCTCTCACTATACTATGCTCTACTCTATCCCTATCTTACATATGGTATCTGTGCATGGGGCTCAGCGGCTGCAAACTAGCTACCTCAAGTCCATCATCACCCAGCAAAAATCAGCTATCAGAACAATAACAAACTCTGATTTCAGACCATACTCAGCCCTCCCCCCTCCTCACCTAGTTGTACTCACCTAGTTGCGCTTACGGAGGTTGAGCTCTGGCTCTTTGGCCCCACCTCTCAACTGTCAATCAACTGACGTACAGGTTCCTGAGCCTTTTGGGCTCTATCATATCTACAAATTCAAAATTCAAATTCAAATGTTTATTCAAGTAAAGTACATACATACAAGGGGTGATACAAATATTGCTTAAATATTGATTAAAGTATAAATCGTGTTGAGAAAATAAACAATAAAAAAGGGGGAACATGGCAGAAAAATAGCAAATAAATAATTTGGTCAACAAACAGCATTGTTTAAAATAGTAGACATGGGTTGACATTTAGGGGTAAGGTAGGTTACATGGAGCTAATTAGGTAGTGTTTAGTTTTTATCTTAAACTGGATGAGAGAGGTACAGTCTTTAACATGATTGGAAAGGTCATTCCACATTCTGGGTCCCTTGATTTGTAAAGCATTTCTAGTTTCATTAAGTCGTACTCTTGGAATATCAAAAAGGTATTTATTTCTGGTGTGGTGCTCATGGGATCTGTTACAACCTTCTAGGAAGCTTTTAAGGTCAGGATTGACATTACAGTTCAGGGTTTTATATATATAAAATACACATGAGAGGATGTGCAGTGACTTAATATCTAACATATTCAGATATTTGAGTAAGGGTACAGAGTGATGTCTGGGGCCAGAGTTAGATATTGTCCTAATAGCAGCTTTGTGTTGAGTAATTAGAGGATGTAAATGATTTTGGGTAGTAGAACCCCAAGCACAAATACCAAAGTTGAGATAAGGATAGATGAATTTAGATGCTCAGTTCTCAATTAAATCCCTTAAATCCTCCCTGACTGTTGGAGCTATCTATATTTTTCCACTCCCAAAAAGAGTACCAATGATACAATTATTAGTCTGCTTGATATAAGCTATTCAGCCCTCGACAAAAATGAGTTTCCAATTGGACTCATTGACCTGAAAAAGGCCTTTGATACTGTTAATCAAAACTACTTCTTACTTAATCTCCATCATTATGGAATCTGAGGCCTTGCCCTGTACTATATCCGATCCTATCTTAGTGACAGACACCAATATGTAGCCATCAATGATATAACCTCTCCCACTCTACCAATAACCGTTGGAGTGCCAAAAGGCAGCATCCTAGGACCTCTCATATTTCTTATATACATCAATGATCTGCCTATTGTCTCTAACATTCTTAAACCTATATATTATTTGCGGATGATACTACCTTCATCTACTCAGACCCATTAAATAATATTGTAAATACACATTAACATTACACATTAAATAATACACATTAAATAATATTGTAAATAATGAATTAAAAAAAATAACACTTATGGATGTCAACCAACAAACTCACACTAAGAATAGAAAGACCTACTTCATCTTATTTGGAAGCAAATCAACAAATGCAATACAGCTTCCGATAGACAATGTTAACATCAGCAATAAAAATGACGAAAAGTTCCTTGGCCTGTACTTAGACAAGAGACTCATCTTCAGCACCCACATACAACACATAACCAAGAAAGTCTAAAAAACGGTTGATATACAGGTATTCACTAAAATCAGACATGCTCCAAACTCTACTCCTCTCACTATATTATGCGATATCTATCCCTATCATACATATGGAATTTGTGCATGGGGTTCAACCACTGCAAACTACCTTAAGCCCATCATCACCAAGCAAAAATCTGCTATCAGAACAATAACAAACTCTGCTTTCAGACAACACTCGGCCCCTTGTTTAAATCCCTAAACATAGACTCACTCCACACATTCTCTTGTGCCATTTACAAAACCCTGTTCTGAAACTCTTCCTGGGCAGATGAAATAGAACCCATAATCACCACACCAGAAATAAATATCTATTTTGATATCCCCAGAGTCAAACTTAATCTGTGTTAACACTATGCAAATAAAGGGACCTAGTCTATGAAACTCACTCCCCAACAAATTGAAAATCTGTCAAACTTTTGCATTATTCAAAAATAAAAATAAAAAGTACCTAATTTCATCTCTATAGTTTCTTACCTAGTGCTTGAAACTCACACTGAATCTAATGATACCCAATCCCCCCAATAAATGTACCTAAGCCATACAACTTCCCCATTGTAATCATTCACCAATACAGTACTGTATATCATCTTGTATCATGCTTGTTATATTGAATGCATATTTTACTGTATAATACCTTGAACTAATCCTCAAGTTATGCTACAATGTACTTATTGATAACCCTCAAATCATTCTTTAATATACCTACTAATCTTTGTCAAATTTCCTTACAATGTACCTGTTAACATTTTTTTCAATTTTGCTAGAAATTATTACTTAAGATTATTTGTTAGATTAGGGACCTGCTCGAAATGCTATGCGTGTTAGTGGCTTTTCAAGAATGCAAAAACATCAATGCTATGTACTCTCATAAACACAATGTACCTTCTTGTATAAATAAGTGAAACATGGGGATGAGAGGACATAACAGAATGAGAATTTCTTCTCCCAGGATACCATCCATCATTCAAAAAGGACAGAACAAGAGCAGGTGGGTAATGCTGTTTGTGAAAGAGGACCTAGATGTAACCACCAATGAGGAATTGAACACCACTGAATCCTCAGAATCTGTATAATGCAACATACTGGCTCATGATGACTATACATGGCTATAGGGCATGGTAGGGCTATAGGGATGGTAGGGCATGGCTATACCAAAGGAAACAGAGTTAGTATAAATGGGGGTTAAGTCAGACTGGGAAAATGTTGTAAGTGGAATGCCTCAAGGCTCTGTCCTGGGACCTCTGTTATTCATAATATACATATAAAGGATTTAGATTCAGGTTTGAGCAGCAATATTTGCAAATTTGCTGATGACACACAATTGGGAGGGAAATATACAAGGGAAAAAGACTCACTATCACTTCAAGACAATCTAAATAGGGTTTTGAAATGATCAAAAGATTGGCAGATGCAGAGTAATGATGACAAATGTAAGGTTTTGAGGCTAGGTAATGATTATAGTTACAAGATACGAGCTAGATGGTTTCAAGATTGCGAAAGGGATCTGGGAGTTATGATTAGTAAGAATTTAAAACTGAAAAATCAATGCATAAATGTTCGAAATAAGGCAAGTAGGACACTGAAATTTATTAATCGAAGCATTACTAATAAGGCACCTGGTGTTGTTCTTCAGCTATATCTTGCTCTGGTTAGGCCCCATTTAGATTATGCAGTTCAGTTTTGGTCGCCATACTATAGAATGTATATAAATTTACTTTAATGTCTCCAGCGTAGGATGACAAAGTTAATCCCTCAAATTAGAAACCTGTCATATGAAGATAGATTGACAAAGCTTAAATTATATTCTCTAGAAAGGCGAAGAATTAGGGGTGACATGATAGAG